TCCCCCCGTTGCCATGGTAACAGGAAATTTACCATTGAGCATGCTGTTACAGAGGCTATGGTGTAGTCAACATTTGTGCCAAGTTTCATTAGTATTGAAGCATTTTTCATACTTTCATAGCAGTTTGAACTTGTTACAGGAGGCTTTTCAGTGAAAATGGCCATTTTTTGCAATATGCTCATAGGGTAAAAGGTTAATTAATAATAATGAGAAGTCAATGGTTAGTGATTGGGAGACGATGCTTTAAACTGTGTCATTGAGTGTGTATAACACAAGCATTTTCCATGAAGTGAATCTCTTAAACACCAAGGGGAGTAACTCAATAAACATTCTACATGTATATTCTAAAGTTATCAAATATCTCCCTTGACAGAAACACCAAATACTACACTAGTTTGTATATAAATTATTTTAAATTTGACATTATACTTACAGCCATTGAAACCGCCTCCATGTAGCAGTTATAAAATGTTCCCCTATACTTAACTTAAATTTTGTTAATTCGAAAGTTAATGTTGAAGACTGAATACCGCTAAATGAGGAGCTAGCGTAAGCGATGTTGCAGATTACATTATCTCTCATGTACAGACTTATATCGGCAATTTGCATGTTAATATGTTTTTGTGTTGATTGTTCATTTGCTTTTTATATTGGTGAAAGGAATAACAAAATGCACTAAAATTTAAACACAAATTTGGAATCACATGTTTGTTAAACGCTGGCGCCGGGATGATTTGTATAGCATACAGTCGAGCCAAAACAAAAACAAAAATTTAAACAAAAGAAAGAAGAAAAAACAAAAACAAAAAATCCAACAAAGGACTGTTTTGCAAAACTTCAAAACAGAACATAAATAAAACCGAGGAACTTTCGTATAATCTATTGTGTTAGAAAATAGACGAAACGAGATGCCTGAATAGCGTTGTAACATTATAACAAATATGTGAAATTTATAAGCATTTATCTGAGAGCTTATTAAAAATAATGCAAAATAAATGTTCACATATCTTTATGACGTATGTGTGTTTTTCAGAAAATATTTAATAGAAAAAGATCTACTATCAAATGATGAAAAGTAAAAGATGGCTGGTGAACGCTCAGTTAAAAGTGCTGAAATATGGGATGACATAAAAGCTCGAGCAAAACTAGGAAAATCTTCAGTAGATATTTGTAATGATACTTTTTGTAATATTTGTGGCAACAATGAAATATCTTTTGCAACTGTTCGGGTGGATGCATATATTCAGTTAGACAAATAACTGCCAAAAAATACCTCATTTGCTAACATTTGACCAGAAGATGAATCGAGATAAATGCGTTCAAAAATTACTGAAAATGTTTCCGCAGTTTTCATAATTATATGAAAGCTGGTTCTATTATACACCAGTTCGCAAGTGTAATAACACGGTTTAGGCCACTAAACTGTTCATCGACGATGCATTGCCAAGGAATTATGTCAAGAAGGTTATGTACGTTATTTGTGGAACTGTTGTCCAAATTCATGTTCTAGAGGCCGTTCTGTCATCAAACCCAAGTTTTATGGAGATGTCGTCTTAAAGGAAAAAATTAAAAAATCGTCTTTCGACTGGTCTGAAAGACAGGCCTCTATTTTCTGTTCACACTCCTGTAGTGTAATTGATTTGTTTCTAGACAAACGAGTGACTGCTGTCCTTAAACATTCATCTTTTTTCAAGACTTTTTCCTCTTCTCTAGACTGTAGCAATAGACTTGGGTCGTCGACCATTTTCCAGTTATGGAAAGGTATACCCAAGAAAGACTATGGTGAAAATTGGATAAAACGTCTTTAACTTTTAACTTCCGTTGGAGGAGATTATTTCGAAAGGGATAAATAGAAAATCGTAAAATATTTTTGTTGTTTTTAATTTATTGACCATATTACATTACATATTGACCCACCCTAGTAAGGGAGCTGGATAACTTTCTCAGTGTTCGGCGTATGATCAAAGCCTACATACATTGGTCAGAATTGTTAATTTAAATGACCGTTGCATAAAAAACACCGATTCAGATTTATATCTGAATATCTTATATAGTACAAAAAGTTTTTTTTTATTTATTTAAATCTTAAATAAAATGTATAATCCCCTGCATACAAAGCACTGTAACACCGCACTTTGGGGTCAAACGCACTTTGGGGTCCGACCCCAAAGTGCGTTAAACTTCGCACCGCACTTTGGGGTCAAACGCACTTTGGGGTCAAAATCGAGAAATTGACCCCAAAGTGCGTTAATATGCTACATATCAACGCACTTTGGGTTCCAGAGGTCTAAAGGTGTAATCTGAGTTCTGCTTAAATACTGAGAACTGACTTATTTTCGATCTTCGACATTGAAATATTTGAGGTTGAGTACAAGATGGCGGTCAATATGCTTAAGTGATAAAAGTTTCATTAATTTTACTACTTAAAATATCCAATAATTGTGTTCATATAACAAAATTACGGTGGCATAAAAGTGACATTTGCATTTATTTTTATTTAAGTTTTGCATACATATTTTTATTTAAGTTTTGCATACACATTTTTTTCAGTTTTGCATTCATGTTGTTTTTTGGGTTTTTTTGGTTTTTTTTATAGCTTTGCATTCATATTTTATTAAAGTTTTTCGTACATTTTTTAGTTTGTTTTTTCGTACATATTTTAGCCAATCAAAACAGCCTTCACATCTCATAACAGCCCATAGTTGAGTATAAAACTAGCACAGTAGTTTGGTCACATTTCGACCCATTTTTTGGAATCGGCCCAGTCGTTTTTGGCCGCGCAAGTCTGGTTTCGGCCGACCTTTTTCGGCCCATTTTTTAAATCATATGTATTTTATATAATTAGTGTATTATTTTTAATTATTATCTACTATTATATTAGTGTCTATTTGGAAAGGGCTGTTGATTGGTGAATGAATATGCACCACTCAACCCCACCCCCTGAGTATAGCGGGGGGAGGGGCATTGACTTTAAACCAAGTCGACCACTGGTAAAATCATATTTCTGTAAAATGTGTAAATAACAAACGGGAAAATGATGCATTTAGCTAAAAACAATGAAGTTATTGAAAGGTGTACATTCTTTTAAAATAAATGGAAAATTTTAGAAAAACATATTTTAAGCTTAAAGCTGCCTGCCTCCAGATGAGTCAAAATATTTCAATAAAATCAAACTTGAGAAATATGTACTACGATTATAGGAAATGTAAAACGATTCAAGATTCAAGTAATATTTTACATGTTATGTGCGGTCAATGACTGAGTTTTCAATATTTACAACTATATTCCTACTGCGTTACTAACGCATTAAGGGCTATTTGTGCATATTTTGACAACTTTTTGGTAATTTACGTAAGTTATAAGTGCCATTGATAATGTGCAAATTGCTTTCTTTTGGTTATTCCACAATATTATACATTCAAATAAATTTTCAAAATTTTCATGAAAATTTTCATGAAAATTAGCGTGAATCTGGAGGCGTGCTGCATTGATACAAATTCTTTTTTTGGTGATTTATTTTGTGAAAGTTCTTCACTTACTATAATCAAGACCATTTAAATCCCTATTGATTCAGGGCACATGTTTTGTGTCTATTTAATACCTTGATTTTTGTTTACCATTGGCTTTGACTACACTATATTATTTAAAACATAATGAACATAAATTTTCTCTGACCCCAAAGTGCGGTCGTTTGCCTGATGTTGAAAAATGCATATGTACCCGTTTAACGCACTTTGGGGTCGAAATTGGACCCCAAAGTGCGTTTGACCCCAAAGTGCGGTGTTACAAAGCACAGCCCTATGTTGTTATATACTTCGAGAAAAGTTACTTTCAATTGATTTTCCTCAACCCTTCATTACCTTGTCAATGAAAAATTCATGGATAAGTCGGCTAGGTAACCTGAGAAAAGATTATAGACAATAAGAGAGACTTCAAACAAAGTCGATAACAGCTGATATCAAATTTCTTTGCGGGAGTTAACACATTTACACACTTTAAAGAGAATACAATATCAGTATTCAACAATTTTAACCGAATTTGGACTTTTTGTTCAGAATTTCGGACTGTACAATAGTCGTGCATGGGCTCGCCGTACTGGTTGTGTCAGCTAGAACGAGAGTAGATATTAAATCAGTGACGTGAAATCCTTCTCCCAACCAGTTAATCGGGAGTATCGTCATATGACCTATTCTGTGTTGGTGCGACGTTTAACCCAACCTAAAAAGAGTCCTTCACAACATTCCTCCAGAGGCGTGCACGTCACGGAAAGGCACACAGAAGGTCAATATCACGAACTTGTCTTGATTAAATTGGGATTTTGGCGCTAACAAGAACCGTTTTGATAGAAACCTGATGCCTAGGAAGTATTGTCGGCTCCTACCACCTACGAACAAAGGACAGGCTACAGAAAGACGCGTAAAAAAACGTCCCTTCTGAGACTTCTATATAGACGCTGATATGGTTAATTCCTGCGCCGAACATAAATAAACCAAAAACCACAGCATATTTAAGTTAATATTCGTCATGCGGATTCGTTATAAATAATAAATTCCAATATATCTAATTGTTATTTATATAAAAGACGCTTCGTGGTAAATCTTTATTAACATTTTTGCCAAAAAAAAAAACAAAATTGATCATATGATTATTATATTACCCTTATTTTACCTTAATATATTACCCTCGATTTATGTGTATTTTTGGACTTGTACTAATTCTATTTTGGATCTGGTCAATTATTAATGTTGGGATATCATTATGAATATTTAATATTGTCCGGCATCATACAATTTAAGGTACAGAAGGTTAAGACTTAAGAGCCACACTTTTGGATTTTTGAAGATTTTCTAAGTTTCAGCAAGATATGACACATAGTGTGGGATTTAGACGATATCGAATTTCAAGTTGTTGGGTTTTTGTGCGTATTTGTTTGTTTGATGTTGAAATGAATAACCTCTTATATATAATAAGATGGTGAAATATCTGTTTCATTTCTGTATCTTCATTTCACCGGGGTTTTTAACTCCTGATATGAACTTCGTTAGAAAATAGCTAAATGAAATAAATAAATGGTTTGTTTAGGATTACTGGGACTGAAACGAGTTTTCTTGGAGTAAATAATTTGATACTCTCATTTTATATTTTTATTTAAAAAAAGCACTTTTTGAACATATTTGCATCCATGTATGTTTCGATATTTTTACGAGTTTAAATATGAGTGTTTTTCTAGTAAATATTTGATGTGGATTTAAATTTGTGAATTGATTAAGAGATAACATGATGGCTGGATTTAGTTTAACGGAGCAGATACGATTTTTCTGGGTATGTATTTTTATCAGAATTTATAACGTATATTTCATATTGTCTTAAGAGCATCTAATATTAAGCTATAAAGGGAAATATAATAAGTTCTTATATTCACTGTGTTGTAAGCTGTGTAGACATTTCCAAGATGACGGACTGTCAATATGGAAAAGGTGGATGTCTCTTTTTCTCATCTTTAATATTTTATTGAAAATATCTTGCCATAATACCCAATGCAAAATGTGTATAAACAACGTGTTGGGCCTCGGTATCGTATTGAAAAAATCCATTTTGTTATGTTTTGGGGTATCTTGTACTAAACAATGCCAATCAGGTAAACTGAAAATTGAATCGAGGATCTCGCATTGTATTTAGTTATAATTTGTTAAAAGGTTCATGTTTTCAAAGTATTTTGTTGTATTTTGACATCTTAAACTCATTTCTTTAAAAATGTTACAAATGCAAAAAGTGATACAACAACCTTTACTACTTTGACTGTCCGCCATCTTAGAAGTGTCTACACTTTTACGACCGTACAGCTTACAACACAGTTTTATCGAAACGATAAAAAAGAAAATATATATAATGTGCGTTTGTGTTTTAATGTGACGTGCATCATATTTGTGTCGACAGACTGCACATTTCTTTAAGGTTATACATACGATATAATTTATCTTTTTTAAGACAATACATGCAGTGACAAATATTGATTTGCACATCATCTTGGATCTCTAGTAAAAAGATACGTAGCTTTATTTAAAGCAGCATGCCTCCAAATTCATGCAAATTTTCATGAAAATTTTGAAAATGTATTTAAAAGTAAATATTGTGAAGTGAACAAAGAAAGCAATTTACACATTGCAAACGGCACTTACAATCCACGTCAAATACCAAAAAGAGGTCAAAATGTACATAAATACCCCATACTGCGTAAGTAACGCAGTAGAATAATAATGATTGATACTGCGAAATAAGTCATAAGCCGCACGTAAATCATTACTTAAATAATGAAACTTTTAACTTTTCTTATTAATAAGATCTTAATACATTTTTCTAAAGATTGAATTTCTTGAAATTCATTGGCTCATTTGGAGGCGTGCAGCTTTAATCCTGAGACGATGTGCATCATACAAATTTAGAAAGCAGGACATGTTATAAAAGTTAATGTTATAATATAAAGAGGATATTGAATGTGTGTAGTTTAATACTAAATTTATTGAACGAGTTGAATATAATCATATTATGCGAGCCTCTGCCGGCCATAATATTGCTTTATTAAACGAGTTCAATAAATTTAGTATTGAATCTACACGAATATAATATTCTATTTATCACATATATAAAATAAGAACAGTAAACTGTAAAAATGAGTTATTTTTTCAATGACGCACCTGTAGTGTAACGCGCTTTAATAACGCTATGTTTCTATATAGCGCAAATGACGTCACATCAAAGTGTTATTACACTAGTGTAATATCGTTCTTATTAAATGACTTTATTACACTCTTGCGCCGCGGTTTATGTGATAAGCCAAATTATTTTTTGTCTTGTACATAACATTAAACTTATACTTTGTCTTTGCAATGTATGTTGAAATCAATTAAATGGATTAACTAATTTTTGAACGTCTAAACTGCTTTATGCATGTAATTAAGGTAGTTTATATTAATTAATTAACCAGTGAAATAACGAACGCGGTTCTATCAAGCACTATGAATAATAAAAGGCGAACGGAAATCAATATAGTATCCACTTTTGTTCTTCTATGAAATCAACACACATAATTTATAAGAAATACAGCGTTTTCATTATATGACCAATGAAACAGGACACTAAACATGAATAATGTACGTAAATGAAATAAAATGTTCCGGAATCAAAATGTTCCGGAATAAAATATCATAGCCTGATGCATATATTGCTTTCAAAAGCCTCCCTTGCATCGTTTAGTCATGTATACTGTATGTCAAATAGAAAAGAAAGAAAAATTACGTATATTAAGTCGCATTCAGTGAATTCAAAATTAATAGGTCGCCATTTAGCAATTTAATATTTTAAGGACATGATTGGCGACATGTCCGGCGTCCGTCGTCTCAGTGCCTAAAAGCTTAGAACACACCCACCCACGTGTATGCACGCACATATAACCACACGCACATACGCACGGACACACACACTCACGCGCACGCATTCACAAACGTTTAGCAATGATTTTATGCATTGTCATTCGCTTGTCATTCGCTTTTAAGGCAATGCTCTTTCATTTTAGTTTCATACAAGCATTTTGAAACCCATTCGTTCTAAAAATCAAACAATTTATTTTTTTGCTGCTAAACTCTTTAATGGAAAAAAAAATTCTTCCTTCAAGAGAATAAAGGTTTATGCAATGAAATACTTTTTTTTATCATTTCTTTAACAGTAAAACTATCTATAGTTTCCATTATCCTATGCTCGTTCTATGAAGAATTGACGATTCTCAAAAGAATCGAAACATAGAATGTCTGTGTTGCATGAGTTTTGTACGTTAGTTAAATAAGATGGTCCGGTTGCTATGTTAAATAGAGTTTTAAAGGGACTCAACTCAAGGTTTTTTGACATGATAGGACTGAAAATATTCCCCCGATATGTGTGTGCTATTTGATGTAGGTATGGACTGATAACTTATGCGCAAATCAATATCTTAACGAAAAGCTTTGAATAAATCATTTCTAACGGACCTATAGAACGTATCTGCTACATATAATAACCTTTCATAGATATATCGTATTAGTACAGATAAGAACTATTATCCTTAGTCTGATTAGAACTTTTTAGATCTAAAAGGTCCATAAGAGTAATGAGTTAAATGCATAGAAAATCTATATAGGTATCATACTTAAGTCTGAAGTTAAACTTTTTAGTAATAAAGGTCGAGCAATTAAGAGTAACGAGGACTTATAAAATATGCAAAACAAAAACGGAAAGAAAATCTATAGGTTAAGGGTATCATATATATATTAAAGGAACTACACTGAGGTTTATAAGCCTAAAAACATAAAATTTTAATTTTTCACATAGATAAACATGAGCACTTAAAACAGAAATATAAATAAAATATAACCAAGAAATATACAAGAAATACATTGAAAATCATATGTTTGTGCTATTCTCAGTCGATTTGAGTGGTTTAAACGCTTTTCAATTTTTCACTATTATAATAATTATTCTGGAAAAACGAAGGGAGCTAATGATCTGAAGTTTTGCATATACCTTATTAGTATAGATCTACATCAAATGGAGTAATAATCTCAAAAAAATATTTCCAGTCCCGTCATGTTAATGAAATTGGCGAAATGAGTCGACTTTTAGTTGTTGAAATGTCATATCGGCATTGAATGTTATAGGCCTATCGTACATCGTATGTGTCAATTACATGTACATTTGGACGTTCATGCCCGTCACTGCTGCGGGTTCGGATACCGAGATAAGGACAGGGATTTTGGATTTTTCAAGTGAGGAAGCCATCCAACCAGCGTCGGTGGTTCAACTACTTAAAGGTTCCCGCCCCGCCGCAGTAGCGTACCTACCGTTATGCAAATACGCACGGGCGTATAAAAAGAAAAAGTTTCGAAAAAAATGATCATAATTGAAATCATTAATGTGTGCGTAGATCGATCAACATATTCGTAGCTGCTAATTGATTCTACATACATGCTTAGGATGTTACCTTATTCGAATATGCGTTACCTTTTTATGCACAATCAAAACTTCAATTATGAAGAAAGGGAGTAAAAATATGATATAAACAATTTCTTTGGAATTTTCTCTTTTTTTCAGCTTGAGTTAAGCGTTATAATGCTAATAAACCTCGTCAAAATCCAAATAAGGATAAAAAATTGTCCAATATATTACAATCATTTTTTTCAGAAGAATCAAATCAGTGAAAAGTAAACATTTATTTCATTTTTACACCTAGATCTATATGTAAAATAAAGATTTTGTTTGCAACTTGGCGTTTGCAGCACAATGGAAGGGAGTGAGTTAACTGTATGGAATGTCTTTTTATATTTTACCTTGTAACTATAAATCAGTATATTATTTTTAAGTTAGATATATCAATTCAACTTCTATTCATTTCAAATTATGCAGAATAGTTTTGATACTGTGAACCAGATCTTTGCAGTGAACTATTGCCAGCATCCATCGTCACAAACAATTCAACTTTTGTTTATTTGACTCTAAAGAAGAATACCAGTATTTACAAAATATATCACTACAGAAAATTGTTTCTACTGTATTATTTTATTGAATAAAAAAATGCACACTTCTGAAAACAATGATATATATTCTTTACTATACGTATAGTCTCATCTATACATATTTAAAACATAAATAAATATATAACGAGAACGATGTATAACCATGTGTTAATTCTTTTATTTTCGCCGACTTTAGATAACAAATTGGCGAGTCTGTTTATACCAACATGCTTTATGTACGTGAGGCATTAAACTTTGTAATGAAATAGAGCTCTAACTTAAATATTTCGAATGGAAAATGAAAGACTATAGTTGAGAACAAAAATGTTAAAGACAATATTTATTGTCTACAACATTGACATTATACGCATTAAAAATATTTTAAGGAAGTTAAATGATCGTGCGATACTACATTTTAGCTGTGCATTTTTAAAAGCTATTGTGTTTGTATTAAAGTCATACAGATCATTTTAAATAAAGCATATTTTCCTTGATTATGTCTCATGTTAAGTGATGGTGAAACAAAAAAAAAGTAACAAAGAAAAATCTAAACTTGTTACAAAAAAAAAGGAAGTAAAATCCATCTTTTTTTACAAGAGAGACACCTGGCTATGTTTTGTTTTTCTAAAAGCAAATAACTTTTGAACTATTTAAAACAGTGTACACGTTAGACTTCGTGCTATTTCTCTTACATTCAATATGTACACAAGTTTGATGTTATTTTCATAATTATAGATAAAGACAATAGTAGTACAATTAGCTTACATATCCCCTAAATCA